GTATTTTTACAGTCTTTATTTTACAGTTAAAATATATGTTTATCAAATAAAGTCCAATGTTACAACTAATCGTGTATCCCTTTAAATAGAGATAAACTAAATACTAAAGCTGTTTTAAGACATTCAGACTAGCTATTAGTCGAACATACAGTACCTGTTAGAATTAAACTTTTTCTCCAAACTGAGATTGTACAAAGAGCAATCTACAGTACAACAGGTAAGACACTAACTGTTCATAACACAGAACCTCAACTGCTGAATCCCTCAACACCCCCTCACAGAGTTTGTACCTTCATTGAAGTGAAGTTCCGGATGTGGTCGAAGTCAAAGATCATCTCCACATAACCTTTGGGGAAAGTCTTGTTGCTCCAGCCCACGTAGTCGTATCCAGGCCACAGAACGGGCGGTTGGCTGTGTAGGAAATCACTCTGACCCCACGTGCCGTCAGTCAGCTGGCCGAGGCCCTTTGTTAGTCTGGATAAGAGACAGAAGTTTGCATTGTTTTTTTTTTCTTACTGACCACCATTATTACAAATAAATTGGATTCATGCACTTCTCTGACTGGTGAAAAAGTCCAACCTGTCAGTTACTGTGCCGTCATAGATGGAGTCATTGAGAAAGACATCCAGGCCTTTGTAGAGCATCTGGTGTCCATCTGGAATGCTATAAGACATCAGACCATCTGTAGAGGGCAAGAAGACTAAAACTTAGGACTCATTTTTGCAACATTGTCCATCCATCCATCCATCCATCCATCCATCCATCCATCCATCCATCCATCCATCCGTCCGTCCGTCCATCCATCCATCCGTCCGTCCGTCCGCCCGCCCGTCCGTTAGTCCGTCCGTCCGTCCGCCTGTCTGTCCATCCATCCATCCATCCGTCCATCCATCCATCCATCCATCCATCCATCCATCCATCCATCCATCCATCCATCCGTCCGTCCATCCATCCATTCGTCCGTCCGTCCATCCGACCTTCCATCCGTCCATCCGTCCGTCCGTCCATCCATCCGTCCGTCCATCCGACCTTCCATCCATCCGTCCATCCGACCTTCCATCCGTCCATCCGTCTGTCCGTCCATCCATCCGTCCGTCCGTCCGTCCGTCCGTCCATCCATCCATCCATCCATCCATCCATCCATCCATCCATCCATCCATCCATCCATCCATCC